ATGAGCAATCGCCTACCTCAAATTTACTGTGAACCTAAAACTCCTCAAAAATAATTCTATTTTTTTTTCTTTTTAAAGAACAGTTTGTGTTGGTTATCTTTGAATCAGGTATTTATAAAATCACATACACAGTACTATATATATGCTTGCACTTGCATGCTTCCCTTCTGAGGTAAATTACTAGTGTATGGACAGGGACTGAAAAGCTGCCAGGGGATTCTGCTGCTTTCTAGCTGTTACTTCTCTACTACTGAAACATAATTTACCACACATATGTAATACTAAAATCCAGAAATGGAAAGTTTACACACTGAATGAATAAGGACAGAATGATTAGAAAGGCATCTGGAATATCGCAGTTGTCTAGTCTCTGACTTCAACCTCTCTGGTTTTCTGCTTTGGGATTATTTTTCCATTTGAGTTGTTTACTTCCTGTTCAGCTTTGATTTTCTGACTTCTACTCTTTTACTTCTCCCTGGCAGTTTCTCTTGCTTGACTTAACTGACTTTTTCTCCCTTGTCCCTGGACCTGTGTTCTGTCTGCAGCTGGGTCTTGTTTCCAAGTCAGCCTGTAGCTGTGTCTTGTTTCCAAGTCAGCCTGTTTTGGCTTCAGTATATATCCATTTACTTTTGGAATGGATAAGCTCCCTCACCCTGAAAATTTCAACCAACACATTCCTACAATATGTCATCTTGCACCAAAAAAAAAAAAAAAAAAATTATAAATAACTTTTTCAAAAATGTAAGTATACACTGACATTTTGTTTTGATGATATTTCTTAAGAATTTAATCCAGGGCCCTCCCTGGTGGTGCAGCGGGTTAAAGCACAGCACTGGGAAGATAAAGCCACTTCAGAATGAGTTTGAACCCCGCCCGCACCAGCGGTGATCCACATGGCCCGGCAGACCTCTCCTGATTCTCCCGCTGCTCCCCTCAGCAGTGTACTTTGTTGATCTGCCTGTTCTGCTCCCCACTCTGTGTCTGGTGAATCCTCTCACTGCCCCTGCACCTCTGGCCTGTACCCCAGTTCTGTATGCATAAATAAATAAATATTAAAAAAAATAATTTAATCCAGGTATTCTGGATTAAAAAACCAGGGAAACAATTTTGTAGATAAACAACAATGGCAAAAATCCAAAGGAACAGTTTTCACTTCTTTCCAAATCATAAATTCTCTTTTGAGAGCCAAACTGCCCACCAAATCTGGTAAACATGGTTGTAGAGATGGTTGATAAACATAATCAGGAATTAAGGTCTTTGCAAATGCTTTCTTTTCAGGGAGGCAAGTTAAGGTCCTAAACATGCAGAGTGGTAAAACTAATGCTCAAGAGAAGAAATGTGAACAGAAGTGTTATACAACACAGTCTTAGCACCAAGTCTCAAATTCGCTTATGAGACTGTGCCCAGGAAAACACTCAGTGGCCATCTGAATACCTTTAGAAGATGTAGGTGCTATATTTCTGTGGAAGATGGAATCTCAGAAAGGCAAGACATCATGACAATTGAAACAATGAAGGAAGAGAAAGCTTCCAGGAATGTAAAGAAAAGCTGCTTTAGTCATAAGTATGCCCACTTGAGCTTTTCTATGGCAACCTCCAGGTTCGCTAACAGGGTCCCTTGTTTATATGGACACAATGCTAACATACAAGCTGTGTGTAGTCCACCAAAACAAGCACATTGGGGCAAAGCCAGCTGCTTTCCAGAACTAACTGTTCCTGTGACCCTACTTTGTCAGACCCTTGACCAGAAGAATCTGGCTAAAGGCCATTTAAGAGCTCAAGAAGGAGGAATGTAGTCTTGCCCCTGCTAAAGTAATACAAAGGACAGCTTGTTTGCATGTAACTTCTATACTCATTGGCAATCCAGAAAACTTTTAGTCTATGGTTTGAGATGTCATTGGATCTGTGGCATTCAACAGACATATGCATATAAAAAATTCCAGAACTAGTAATTTCACTGGAATCTTGGAGGCCTTATAGAACCATCTATTTCCCTTTCTTCCTAATCACTTCTTAAAGATTTAGTCAGACTGGTTTTCCAGGACGTACTTTTACCCAGATTTTCCAAATGTGGGCCCAAACACAGATACCCATATCCTTGTCAAGTTGGAAAACAAATAGAGAGGAGCCTTGAAATATACTAAGGTGAGACTAAGTATGGATCAGAGACAAGTTATATTTTATATTTGAGTGCTTAGGCCATGCATCTGCTGGAAGAACCAAGAACTAAGAACTCATTCTGATATTTAAAGCAGAAAGGAAGGCATATTCCCTTGAACAGCATGTTTTCAGGTAGGAAATGTGGATCCCAAATAAGTTTCCTCTGATAGTCTAGCTTACTATGAAATTCCTGTTTTAATCTCAGATTTTTTAAATCAGGATGTCCAAGGGTGGTGCCTTAGTTTTAGTATCTTCTTCAATCTCTTATTTGATGTTGATATAGTCTGACATCTGGGTGTCATCATCACCAGTGTCCTTAGCCAGCAATAGGTTGAGTCAATCTTGTCTGAAGAATTGTATATTTGTTTGTCAAGTAAATGGGAGTTTCCCAGAAGCAGAGAGTAGAATGAGATTGACTGGGCAAGTGGAAATCATGATCCAGCTGGGCACAGATATGAACCAACTGAAAAACATCCCACAAGTCCTTGGATGGAAACTTTCCTTTCAGATTTAAAGGTTCCAATTTTCACTGGTGCAGAGGTGAGTCTATGCTTAATTGGCCTTAGTTAGATCACACTAATAGAAGGGAAGGTGACCAACTCAGGGAAAATGACATCTGTCTATGTAATTTAGTGTGATCTTATGGTAGTGACTCTACCTTGTTGATAGCTAGTAGGGGGTAGAGGGGTTACAGAGATCCTTCTTACAGTTGACAAATCTTGATAATGGTTAGTGGAAATAACAGAACTGGAATCTCCCTTTTATGCTAACACTACACTATAAACGTTGACTATGGTCTATTTGCAGATACCTGGCTGTAGGTCAGTCTGTGCATGTTCCCGTTGCACAGTAGTCATAATAAGATCTAGGACTGAGGTGTATTAAAATACATCTCTGCTGATAAAGAATTGAGCAACATACTGTTATTTTCATTTCCAGTGTGACTGGAGCTATATTCACTCAACCTGGGCAAAAGTACTGGGAGTGCTTATCGACTATCCTGCCAATGCCTAGAACACAGGGGTTTCGAGACAGAGTGCTCAGCTTCTAGTGCTTCACTGGACCTCCTGCTGGCCCGAGAGCCCACCAGGCCAACTGTAATCCTTTGGTACCTTTTCTTGAATCTTTGTCCAATTTCAGGTTTTTCTCCTGTTATTTAAAATACATCAGTTGGAAAGAGTAGGTTTATAGTACTGCTACCCTCCTCTAAGTGCAGGGTTTTAATGAATTTCAATATTCAAGAGGGTAGTATTTATGCTAAAATTTGATTTTTCCGATAGCTTTTAAAGGACCAAACATATTTATCAATATCCATTACAACTGATGGTGTCATCACAAAGAATTAAGAGCACATACCTCAATTTAAAACAAAAAGAGAAAGAGGAAAAAGCATATTTTGAGATTATTCAAAGTTTTTTAAATATGAGTTGTTAACCAAAGCACACAAGTGTGCAAGGATAGAGGCTCATAGGTTAGAAAATATTTTAAATTGTAGAACTAGCAAGAGATCATGGTTTGAAGGAATTTCTCTCCCTCTATGGCATTCTAGTCAGAACTGTAAATACCCACTTATTCATATATTAAACTAAATTTAAAATGAGAGCTAGAATAGTGAAGGGGATAAAAACACTGAATAACTTCATATGCAAACAATAGTTACAAATAATATTATCCTCGCAGCACTCTTTACATCATTTCTGTCATTAAATCTTTACCTGGTAATGAAAATCTTTTGACTTACATTATTTTTGGTAAAGTGTAATTTACAAATAAGAAACAGAAAACTGAGTCAAAAGTTCAATAACTTGCTTCATTGTCACAAAAATGGAAATAAAATTTTACCATTCCAAATGCCAAAATCATCTTTACTGTATTTGATTAGTCACAGAATGTCAAATTACTCATTGTAAATCTTATCTTATAAAATGAGTGGCTGAATTATAGAAACCTTAATCAGAGCTAGTCATAACAGATATAGCATTTGGACTGCATGGCCTAACTCCCTCTATTTTTGCCATAAACCACTCTCATGAACTATAGCCAGAGCCAAAAATACCCATCAGAAGTACCAGCTATATTCATCCTCTTTTCAAAAGACATCTCTGGCCAGTATCCAAACTTAAATCCATCCTTTCCATTAATAAAGGGAGTCCATCAATGTATCATTTCACATGTATTCATCATTTGCTCTGCTTTGACCACTACATCTTAGTTATTAGAGGTATCATGTAACCAGAGTCACATGAATACATCATCACTCTGAAAAGAAAACCTGAGGAAGGAATGCATTTTACAGAGTAAACAATGCAAAAACAAAGAAAATACCTGTTGATCCAGAAACCACCAAAATACTGGGCTATTTAAACCAGGTACACAATTTTGCATCGCACCTTTGGCTCTAATTTTGTACAGTGCATGCTTATGTGAAAAGCAACAGTCCTGAAATCACCAAGTTGGAATAAGGGACAAGAATTCCTAGAAGGATACTCCTTGCTGCATAAACATTTGTTCCTTCTATACTATCAATGTGTCAAGTAATTTAAGATCATTGCCATATAGTTTTCTAGACATTTTGTACAATTATTAGAGCATCTTGTTTTCAAAAGTGTAGGTGATGGAATGAGAAAATTAACCACACGTACAGGACAGAGCAAACATCCACACACCACTATTGCCCTTGAAGTAGCTTTTAATTCTGTCTAAATCTTAGTCTCTGGCTAAGAATCATAAGGGTGTGCATGGGGTGGGGCAGCCAGGGGTAATGGGAGAGGCTGGCAGCTGATGGCCGCTATTACCACCACTATCCCAGGACAGGGCACAGAGCAAGAAAAAGGTACTTACTTGCTACCATGTGAGGGTTCTCCAATGGCACCCTGCTTCTCAGGGTTCCCTGGAGCCCTTTTCTCCACCTGGGCTTTTTCTTCCCAGATCTCTCTGATTTCCTGAGCTCTAGTTGCTTAGGAGGTGTTGCTAGGCAGACGTCTGCCCTCACCAGCAGATCCCACCCAGCCCACTACCGCTGGGCAGTATACATAGCCCACTGAAGAGCAATCTAAAACCCCAAGAGCCTGGAGCTGCTGCCCAGCCACCGACCCAGAGAACCCTCCAGCCAGCCTGAGGCACAGTGGAGCCGCCTAGAAGCTGTTTTGTGTCCTTCCCACTCCTCCCTCCCCTCTCCTAGCCAAACCACCCTCTCCCCCACCCTCATCTCCATGCCAGTACGCGACTTCTGCATCCAGACCGGGCGTGGGCGGAGTGATGTTGACAGAGACCGGCGGCAGAGGCTGCAGTAGCAGCAAAAGCAGCAGCTGTGGTGTCTCCTCCACCAGCTGCAAGGGAAGGGAGAGGGCCAAAGGAGCCTGATCGGTGAGGAGGGGGAGCCTGGAGAGGACTGCAAAAATAGGCAGGATTGGAGCATTGGGGAAAGCAAGGAAGCACTTAAGAGGGTGGGGTGGAGTAGAGTGAATACCTTCAGCTGTTTTCTCTCCTTCCTTCTAACTACCCTAGTAGAGCTTGGAAGGGGCAATTGTCAGCCTGCAGCATTCAAATTGGATCTGGTGTAGTGGTGTGTGTGTGTGGTGTATGTGTGTGCGTGCGTGTGTGAGTGTGTGTGTGCGTGTGTGTAAGAAAGAATAGGTTGGAAATACTATAACCTTCTCATTCTAGATTTCTTTCCCATTCTGCTGATTTGAAATCCAGTGGGCAAAAGAAAAGTATGTATTTTGGAAATTTGGGGAAACTAATTTGTCAGTGAAGGAAAGAGGTGCAGGATCTTCTTTTCCAAAGGGAGTTTGAAAATTTTCATTATACCACAGAGCATTCATTATATAACCTCACATTTTTTTTTTTTAAAGATGAAGTGTTCTTAAAAAGTATATCTGCAATACAGCAAGATAACAAAAATGAGGAAAAGGGTAAAACAAGTATTTTGATGTTCAAATTTTATGTTCCAGAGTATGTAACTGAAGAGTGAGATGGAACTAAATACTAGCTTCTATGAAAATTAAGTTAGGGACTTGGTTCAACCACACTTCACAGTGTGTATTTTGTTTGTTAAGTTACACATTTACTATAGAGCAATATGAAGGATGTGATTGTTGATTTGCTTTCATTTTGTCTGATCTAATATTTTTATGTTTTTATAATACATAGATGTGGAAATTTTTCCTGGCAAGAGGAAGAAATCAAGAATGTTTTATCTTATTCTCTTTTTCTTTTTAACATCAACCAAAAAAGATGTTTAGGAAAAAGGATAAAACTGTATTTTATAGCATCTGGAAACAACTCTTCTTACTCTATAATTCAGTCCATAGGGTCTTTATTTCCTTCAGAATATAAGGCCTGAAAGAAATAAAACCTTAATTTACTGATAAGTAAGTAAGCAAGGCAGAAGTGAGGGCAAAGTGGTCTAGGAAATACTTTTATTAATCTAAGTTCATTATTAGTAAACTTTATTACTATCTAGCCATGTTCAGAAAATAACACATTCAAGTCCACTAAATCCGCTTTCAAAGTACTAAATATAATGCATTATTTTTTTTTAACCTTTAGGTTCAAGTATAAATAACAGGTATGATGATAGTATGTCTTCCAACTGCCAAATCTGAAATTGCCTTCAGAGGTAACTGACATTTAGCAGGGCTCCAAAACTCCTTTGAAAGTAATATGTTATGTAGCATATTTCAGGTGCTTCTGACAATAACAGGATAGTTATCTTCACAGTTGTCTATTTATGATCATATTTTATATAAATTCCAAATCACCTTATGGTGTTTTCTATGGGAGAGAGGAGGACTTATTATTTTTTCTCCTTGTCCCTGGGAATAGGCAATTTAAGGTGATTTCATAGGCAAACAGACAAATACCTGTTGTAAATCTGGATCCCTTACCTTTCAAACAAATATGTTTTATAACATTTTCAAGTCAGTGATATACCCCATTCTTTTCTGTAATTATTTTAACCATATAATGCTTAAGTTAAACTGCAGCTTACTTTATAAAACAATTGTAGCATATATAACATTGTTTCAATATTGAAAAACCTTTTTCATTTCCTTTTCCCCCCCTCTCCTTCCTGCTGCCCTCTAGATAATCCATTCTCCCATTGTAAATTGCCCCACACCTAAAGAAAAGGAGTCTTTGGTAGTCTTCAGAGAGACAAAATTGTGCACCACAGGCTAGCTGTCTCTTTAGTGAACCACCTCTCTCTCTTCTTTTTCCTGGACAGCAAGTAAAATGGTGCATTATAGATAAACATATTTTATACTACCTTGTGACATTCAGTGGTCCTTATTTGCTGAGTGCTTGGAAGTTAGATGTGATTAGATGTGACAGCTGTCCATTTCAGCTGTAGCTGATTCAAACTTACCATGTCATTTTCTTTCTTTTTTAAATATTATATTAGCTCTCGGTATACAAAATAGTGATTCTAGCTATGATTCAGTCTATTTCTATCTGTGAGTTCCTTAGAACTTTTTCAGGAAAACCTTGACACAGTCTTCAATTCTGTTACAATTTCAGAACTATAAGAATGTGAAGATGATATTTGAATCAAACTGTAAAAAGCTTTTTAACAGTCACAGAGAAGCAAAAGTAATGGCTTGCTTCTTTGGAATTCCCAGAAACAAAAGAAAATACATGGTAACAGTCAATTAGGCTTCCAGACAAAAAAAAAAAAAGTGGTCAAAACCCCTTATAGAGCATTAATTATCAGTTAATAAGTTTCTAAACTAGTTCCAACTCCTCAGCTTCCCTGGGACATACACAATGTCCTAGCTTGGTTCTTTCTAAACATATTCCAAATATAGGCACAATCAGTAAAGAATATCACCAATAAACTAAACTAAACGCCAACAGAGAAAAACATATCAAATATTTCATTTGAAAACTAAATGCCAACAGAGAAAAATACATCAAATATTTCATTTGAAAAATATACACTCATCTAGTATAAGTTGGACAGTTCTGTACCTGTATTTATTTTATAATTTTCCTTGATCCCAAAAACCACACTATAAAAATCACAAACCAAAGTTTGTGTTCAAAATCTTCCTGAGCACATAATACATTCTAATTTCCATTTTCAAATCCAACAATCATCTATCAAATAATTCCTAGCCAGGCTTGGCAGAAGTCTAGAATATATTAGTTACCTAGAAGAGTCATTCTGGTAAAAATAAATAAATAAATGAACAAATAAATAAATATAAACCAAATATTATTAATTTAAAATTGTAGTTTATTGTTATTTAGCTGGAAGTCCCATTGTAATTTTTGTGCAATGTATGTGAAACAGTTTAATGTAAGAATGGCATCCTATTCAAATGTCATATTTGGCGGGTGTAACAAAAAACCTGAAATAACTGTGACTAAAATTTGGTAAAGTTTATTTCTGTCAAATTTAGTGATCCAGGTATAAAAAGCCCAAAACTATAAAATATCATGGAATCGGGCCTCTTCAATCTTATTGAGCTGCAGTCTGTAGTGTATGTTAGCCACATCTGTGTGATTCTGGATAACACCAACTCATTTGCATTCCAGGTAATGGAATAGAGGACATGGGATGCTTAATCATCCCATTAAAGGTTACTTCCAGACATTTCATTGTACTTATTCTTAAGTTCAAATCATGTTGGCTAAAAACTCAATCCCATAGTTGTGGGGGTACTGGTTGCAAGGAAGCCTGGGAATATAATTTTTTTTTTTGGTGGGGTAGGGGTGGGGATATGACAGCCTTTTCAGTGAGCCAAAGTAGAGATTTCTGCAAATGTATAGAAAGATTATACACCAGGATCCTCCCTGGTGGCATAACAGGTTAAAGTGCAGCACTGCAAAGCTAGCCACAGTCTCTTCAGCATGAGTTTGATCCCAGGTCAGGGAGTTGACTCACATGGAGTAGCAAACCTCTCTTGAGCCCCTCCCCCCACTTTCCCCTCAGCAGTGTGCTTCATCAGTCTGCCTGTTCTGTTCCCCACTCTGTCTCTGGTGAATCATCAGACCACCTCTGCACCTTTGACCTGTACCCCAGTTCTGTATGCATAAATAAATAAATAAATAAATAAATAAATAAATAAATAAATAAATAAATATTTTTTAAAAGGGTGAAATAAGAATTGGGGAATAGCCACCAACCTCTTGACATTATGTCAGCATCTGCAGTCAACTTTCTATTTAGACTGGATGTTGTAGCCTCCAAGATAAAAGCAGAACCAAATTTATCAGCAAATATCTCCTTCTCCAAATTAAAATTAGCAGGCAAGAAATTCATACTGAAAAACAACCAACTGAATACTTACAGTAGTATTATTTTTGTTTTCTTAAATACATCTTTACAAATATTATTTCATTCATTTCTACTACTTTATTTTTGATTTGATATTAAAAAGCCAATTTAAAAATATTTCTCATAAATTTTTCTCTCTTATATTTTCAAAACAGGGAGTAAACAAACTAGAAATTACTAACTATGTTTTCAGTGAAATACATAACTAATGTGGGAAATATGTGTGTGTGTGTGTGTGTGTATGTCTTTGGTGAAATATATAACTAATGTGGAAAATAAGAGCGCATGTGTGTATATATACATGTCTTCTGCGAAATTTATGACTAATTTTTTTTTAAAGATTTATTTTATTTATTCTTACAGAACTGGGGTACAGGCCAGAGATGCGGAAGGTGAGAGGATTCACCAGAGACAGAGCGGGGGAGCAGAGCAGGCAGATGGAAGAAGTACACTGCTGAGGGGAGCAGCGGGCGGGTCAGGAGAGGTCTGCCGCGCCTTGTCATTGCTTGATTGCCTCCGGGGAAGGCGGGGATCGAACTTATGCTGAAGTGGCTTTAGTTTCTTAGTGCAGTGCTTTAACCCGCTGCGCCACCAGGGAGGGCCCAGAAATTTATGACTAATTTGGGAAATAACAGTATATACATAGAATGTCTTCTTTTAAAGAGACAATATGCAAAAGAGATCTTGGAATCTGAATATGTGGTAAATGATAAAGAAGATGATGGTGATGATTAAGTAACACCTTAGATAATACTACTGCAGAAATTACAAAGGGAGTAGATGGGGGAAAGGGCAAATAGGTAGGGAACAATGCATTAAAGATAATTTTAGAGAGTTAATTC